CCCCAAAACCCCAAAACCCCAAAACCCCTTTATATTTTAATAAAATTGAAACTTCACAAAGGAACAATAAAACTTCATTAACAAAGACAAATCAAATTATGCATCATTGATTGAGCTTCAAATGAGGCCAGGAAGACTCTTAACAAGATCAACCCATTAACTTTCTACTGGCCCTCAGATCTTCGAAATTTTCCCAAACAAAGGGTGGCTATTCTGTGCTCAAAGCATTATTTCTTCTGACTCAAGCTTTGCAAAGAAAGTCAAGAGAGCCAGTTTCTACCATTACAAACAAAAAATGAACAAGCTCCCTTATTTCGCTCAGATCAATACTCACAAGTAAAAGTAAGCCAAAGGGACTGTACAACTCCCTACTAAAAATACGCTCTGAACAGGACACTCAATTCAATCAACTCATTTCTTGTACAAAAATACAAAGGAGTCGAGCTTTCAACTAACAAAACAAACACAACTGTAAATCCAACAAAAAGTCCATCGATCAACAAGGCTGTCAGGATCAATTTAAAATGAAGAGATGCTGTTGACAAAAGTATTGACCCTTCATTAGGATCCTTCGATGAAACCATAAGTAAGTGCTACTATCCTATCTCTATCAGCTAAATCATTAAAATCTCACTCAAAACCCCCAAAGCACAAATCAATGTTTAATCCAACAAGGTACATCAGAAGGAAGTTCACGAAACACAGAAGCCCATCCTCAAAATCTTATTATCCCAAAACTCTAACTAAGGGAACAGGCCTTGAAATCAGCCCAAGGCTTAAGCCCCAATTCATGACTATGAACACAAAGCCAAAGGGTAGGATATTACTAATTTGTATACAGACTCATCAGTCCAGTTCTTCAGAAGAATCCCAAAGCATGCTTATAAATCAAACCTAGAGGCATTAAAATCTCAGATTTCAAAAGGAATTTATGATACTGTGATAAGGAGAAAGTCTCAGCCGGTGAGAATTCTGGCTTCTTAAACTCAGAAGTGATTTTGCTACCTTATTTTAGAAGTTTTAGAGTAAAATTTGAAGACACACCAATAGTCCTCTCCATTTTGGTGAAACCGTTTTATTCAAAACCATAAATCTTTCTTGGGGTTTTGGGGTTTTGGGGTTTTGGGGTTTTGGGG